TTTGGGTTTTGTTTTGTGAGTGCTGCTATGATATTATCTCCTCTACTTGGTATTGCATATGCCTTGCTTGCTTCATTAAAGAAAATTTTATTATGCACATTGTTCATAACCTCATATGCCCTTCTTGTAAAAATTGCGTTAAGGCTTTCTCTGTATTCTTCTGGTAAACTTTTGTTCATGTTGCACAGTCAGTTTATATATGCTTCTATATCACATGTTGTATCTCGACTAAACTAGTTTGATGTATGCGTTTGTTTGTTTACTTTGCCAGTCCTATTGTAATTTTTGTATAACTTGAGAGATCTATGATACAGGGTATTGGCAGTTTCCCAATTTTTCAAAATAATTTTCTACTTTTTGTCAAAAGTTTCCTATATGCTGTTCTTTGCTGTTGCTCTAGTTTCTTCTCTTTATTCTTCTATTTAACTATATGCAACTTTTGTTGTTCTGTCTTTTTTGTTATTCCTTTAAATTTAGTTTCTTAGTCTAGTTGTTGAGTTTTCCTATGTTTTCTTTTCTAGAATTTTTGGTTGAGAGATCTACAGGGGAGAGTTGATCGATGGATACTAAAATAGTTATTACAAGCAATACAATTTAAGATAAATAGTTTTCAATAAAATGAAATTCTCACAATATAATAAATCAAATTTTTATCAATTTTCTCTTCATAAAGAACAATTTTGACTCATAATTACAATATATTGCTTTTTTTTTTTTTTTTTTTTTTTTTTTTTGATGGCTGATACCAATTTATTTAATAATATTTTTGCTGAAACCCATACTGAGTTAGAAAGCTTAAACAGTGAAATGTCTATGCTTCAAGATACTTATTTGACAAATAATAACTCAGATGATGATTCTGATAATGAATCTAATGAATTAAGTCCTGATAAAGCTTATGACAAAACTTTTTCATTATCTTTAATTGTATATATTGATTATTTTTTTAATGCTGACTAAGTTTAATAGTTTTATAAAATATATAAACTTTACCCAATGTGTGCAGTAATTAAAGATAAAAAAAATTATGAAAAACAGTTAGATAAAAGTGATAATAAAGCATTTTTGACAAAGCTGTGTCAATTTTGCTATTGCACTAAAAAATGTCTTTTACATGTTAACCATCAAGTAGCACTCAAGAGATTTCAGAAAATGAAAGCATTAACCTAAAATAAATCAAATTTATACTTTCTTGGGATAATTGATGCTAGCATGTATGTTACAGAATTCAAAAATGGAATACCAAATACATATCTATTAACAAGTTATAAATTTGAAGGTATTACAATTTGCCAAAAAGCCTTGTATGTAATTTATAACATTTAAAAAAAAAGATAGAAAGCTTTACATACTCATTATTAAGAATTTAGCCTTACATCAAAAATTTATAGGTTAACTGGATGTGTTAGTAATGATGCAATTTCTTTTTCAACTACTTTAAATGTACTCAAATTTATTATAAATTTTGCCAATCAACATGAACTTCTATCATCTGGTAAGTAATTAATAAGTATTAGTTATTAGTCTGATCATAAATAATAACTAATTATCCTATATGATTACTAAATGATTTCTGCATAACTTATTTAGTCACTTTCTAATACAATATACAAAATTTACTTACCTCTTACATACAAGGTAAGTGAATGTCTGCATATTTGTATTAGGAAGTGATCAAATAAGTTACATAGAAATCATTTGATATTTACATCAGACATGTTGGATAACGAAATTATCAGTTGAGTCTTTAAATGAATAATCATTTATTATCTATGACACAACTAATACTACTGTATCCTATTGTAAATAAGCACTATATCCTCTACTCTAATTTTTAAATATCAGATTAGCAGAAATTATAATAAAGATTTTAGCCAAATTATTACTGCTAATCTGATATTTAAAAAAGTAGGTCAGAGAGTGTAGTGCTTATTCATAATAGGATATGTATGATATTATCTATTTATTTACTAAAAACTCAACTAATAACTTGGTTATCTGACATGTCTGATATAAGTACTGAATGATTTCCATATAACTTATTCGGTCACCTCCTAATACAGTAATACAATATGCAAATATTCATTTACCTCTTAAGAAGTAAATGAAATTTTGTATATTATATTAGGAGGTGACTGAATAAGTTATATAGAAATCATTCAGTAATCATATAAAATATGTCTGATAATTATTGATATTATTATTTTTATCACTAAGCTATCTATTGTTGTTGCCTATTTTCCTGATGATCATTTCACAAGCAGGCCATTTACTAGTATTACATAGAGTTAGAGTTAGCATTTTTATTTGTTGTAGATATATATATTAGTAAATTATTATTTTATATAATGTTAGTTAAATGACTTGTTAGAGAAATAATTATTGAGAAAATTAGACACAACCTCTATTATTATTCAGGATGTAGCTTTTAGGATGACACTTGTGAAATAATTTATTTATCTGTATGTGAAAGTAAGTGATTTTTATACTGAATCAATAATATAGAATACAGTAAAGTAAATAAAGTTAGGTTAACAAGTTTTTAACATATCTGAAAAAGGTATCTTTCCAGTATTCAGTTTATGACAGTATATAGTGACTTATGCATGCTTTGCAAAAAAAAACGATTTGGAGCTAAGTATTAGAACACGAATAAAACATTACAAAAATTGAATAAATGGACAAATCACTATAATTTTGCATCCTTAGAACATAAAATTATAGATAAAATATTTAGCAATTTTAGCTAAAAATTTGTTTTTTAATCATTGACTGCAGCCAATGATCAGCCAAATAGAAAGATGCCATTACAAAAATCATAAAATAATTGAGTTTACCTAGTTAATTATATTAAAAGAGCTTGTAAATACTATTAATTTTATATTTAAATTATATTTATATTTTAGAAATTGTATTGTCAAATCCAAAGTAGCTTTAAATTCTTTGATTAATTTATTATGGCCTGGAATTTCAAACTTAGTTAATATCAAAAATCATCTCTCTTGAAATTTTGCTAAAAATGTGTATATCCCTTACTCTTTATAACAGGAAGGAGCTACATACTTTAAATCACTTTATAAAGTTGAAGTGTTTGGAATATATGAAGAGGCAGTACCTCAACAGGTAATAAAAATCTAATATTTATAATTCGATCAAAATTACACAATTAGTGACCAGATTCGTATAGTACAAGATACTTTTATTTTAAATTTGCAGTATATATATTATATATATATAGTATTTAATGACTAATTTAAATAGGTTATAAATGTGCTATTTAAAATTGTCAATTAGAATTTTAAATTAATTATTAGTTAGAATCAGAGAATAAATGCCACTTCTAATAACAACTCATTTCCTAGGATTATTTTATTATATTAAAAGAAAAATAAGGCTATCATATTCTATTGTGAATAAGCACTACATCCTCTACCCCACTTTTTTAAATATCAGATTAGTGGTAATAATTTGGCTAAAGACTTTATTGTAATTTTTATTAATTTGACATTTAAAAATTAGAGTAGAGGGTGTAGTGCTTATTTACGATAGGATATAGTATTAAAATAATTAAAAGTAGTATTTGCTAAAAGTTCTTTGTTTGGGTAATAAGTAATAGTTATCAGTTATGTCATAGATGATAACTGATTATTTATCTACTAAAGACTTAACTAATAACTTCATTATCCAACATGTCTGATGTAAGCACTAAGTGATTTCTATATAACTTATTCAGTCACTTCCCAATACAAATATGCAAACATTTATTATCTTATAAGAAGTGAGTGAATTTTGTATATTGTATTAGGAAGTGACTGAATAAGTTACATGAAATTTATTTAGTGATTACATAGAACATGTCAGATAAGATTACATTATTATCTACATAAGTTATACTATATATCAAAATCAAAAAAATTTTTTTTTTGATATTCTAGTGCAAATTATCATAATGCATTTAAAATTTGCTTATCTTTTTTTTTTAGATCAATTATTTTATTTCTGAAGAGCAGAGTATCAGAAAAGGCCTAAATACTGTAATATCTCTTGTTTATTACTATTTTACTACTCATAGTCTAGGTAAGAAATGTATTATTATTCATACAGATAACTGAGTAGGGCAAAATAAAAATAATGCGATGATTAAATATTTGTTTTGGCAGATAATAAATGGTTTACATAATAAAATTACCTATAGCTTTATAGTTCCTGGCTATATGAAGTTTGGACCAGATAGTTTTATCGAGCTATTTAAGTTAAAACTTAGAAATTCAGAGACAAACGATTTAGAGAACTTAATAGATATTGTCAAAAAATCTACAACTGGAGAATTTAACAGAGCAGATACAGTAGTTAATTCTGATGAAAATAGAAAAATTATGTTTTATAATTGGAGTCAATTTTTAAATCAGTTTTTTATTAATGTTCTATCTATTCTTATGCAGTACTATTTTATTATGTCTCATGAATATCCTGGAATAGTGAAAGTTCAAAGTCATTTGATGGTGATGAAATAAAATTTTAGTTGCACAGGTTTCTTCGATTTCAAAAGCCAGAAATAGTGAACTGATTCTTCCAGATACAATAACTCCAAATAGAATCAGTTTGGAATGACAATGGTATTTATATAATGAAGTATCACAACATATTCAAAACCCAATAAAGTGTGATATTTATTGCCCAATGCCCAATCAGCTCAGACTAAAAAAAACAAAAAATAAAGAACTTGAATGGTTTGGTAAGTTTATTAGTATATTAAATTTCAATTTTATATTTTAACTAAAATTATTATCCATTATTAAAAATATTTTACAGATAACATTTCTGAATTAATGAAAAATATTCTTATTAATTTAAATAATGAAATTAATTACTTATACTCATGCTTATTTGTGAGCTGATATTAGTACAAAATGTCAATTTCTATTTGGCAAAATCTATTTTTATTCAAGCATATAGGCAAATTTGCCATAAGTAATCTATTGGATTGTAGACTCTATTGCAATATATTTCAAGCTTTAAAATTAGCATGATAGTATAAGGAATAACACTTTATTTAAAAGTTTGAATTTTATATATATTTAGAATGACAAACTCTTTTTTTCTCTTTATTATAAACTTTAAATTACATTTAATATTACAAATATTTTTTATGCATCTCTATTGTATCTTCCCAGATCACAAACCAAAATAATATTGATTCATCAATAAACACAAGTCTTAGGAGATTATAAAATAGAAAATATAATCTTATTATAATAATGGATAGGCATTATTTAAAAAATTGGGTTTTTTAAAAATAACACTCATGCATATCCCTAAATAATGCACCTCACATATGATCCTCATATGGGTGTTATTTTATAAATCAAGCTATTAGAAAATTAGCCTTCATTTCAAAATAATGTCTATGCTCATACTCTAAATAATGCATATTATCAAAATAACATGCAGATGGGCACTACTTCGTGAAAATATGGTAAATTTTAATTAGCTATACAATAGAAAAATAATTCTAATCTGACTTATTAATAAAAACTAAATGCTTGCAAGATTAAACACTATTGAATTCAAGATCATAATCAAAATTTTCAAATTTAATAGTTTATCAGTTTTAGTGCCAGTCATTACTTTCATGCTGGCTTGGTAATTCTCTTATTCAGAATTCTATTAGAGATTGGAATTGTGAAAAATTATGTTTATGATTAATCATATCATTTAACTATAAGTTATACAAGTAATAATCATTTAACTATTTATTAATTATTTGACTGTTTATTAATCACTTAACTACCTATTAATCATTTAACTATTTACTAATTATTTGACTATTTATTAATTGTTAATTATTTATTAATTATGTAATCATTTAACTGTAATTGTATAACTATTTAATTTGAATTAAATTCTTTACATCATATCTGATATTTTACAAACTGACCATCTTAATTATTACATTATAC